TAACACACACACAAACACTTAACAGAGACACATCCCCTCACCATGTCCAATAAAACTGTCAAACTGACCAGAGAATTCAGAGCAGGATATATCTATGCAGCTCTTATCTCAAATAGCAACTTAAAAGAGAATGTTTGACCACACAAGGAATGTTAAAAGATTCATGTTAAAAAGAATAAAACAATAAAAAAAAAACAAATGAAAACTACAGACAAAAGTTCATTTTCTCCAGCAAAAGATTCATTTCTGTAGTTTACTGCTACCAGCAAGCAGAAATATTTCTCCTCTCGATGATGGCCATTTTGGTCCCAAACAAGTCGAGGAATCTAAATGAAATAATAATAAAAAAAAACGAAAGAATATTAATCTACAACCCAGTGTGTCTAAAATTTTAATTTTTTAATATTTTTATTGTTCAAAAATATATATATATATATATATATATATATATATATATATATATATAAGTATGAAGAAATATAGTTTTAAGGTGTACTCTATTTATGGGATAAATTGATCAATATCAGAGATAAAGCGTATGTAGATATAAAAGTGAATATCGAAATCAATACTCAGAGGTGAAATACGGTTTCATGCTAAACGCAATAACTCGGGCGATGTAAACAAAAAAACCTAGCTAATGCTCTTTGTAAATAAAAAAAAAATATATACACAAACTGATGTCTGGAAAAAAAATCAATAAAAAGAGAAAAGACTAAAAACATCCGTAATGATTGAAAATAATCAACAAGCACCGTAATGTCTAGCCAAAAGAGAAAAAAAAAGAAATCTGGTATTGATAACAGCAAGAAAAAATGCATAACACCATTTGACAATAGCAAAAAAGTTAGATTCATTATTTATTACAAAAAATGTAAACCTCTAACCTTATAGTTAAAAATAATAATTCACCTCCTAGAACATAATTAAATATGACAAATATTATTTACGAATTTAAATGCCCATTAAGGAATTGTATTCCTAATCAACCAAAATTCGTAAATAATTATATAGGCTATACTACAACATGTTTGACACGAAGACATCCACTACACATTTCTGTAGACGAAAGTAGAATTAAGAACATTATAAAAACCATTCGACTATAGTGAAAAAATTTAGATTAAATTTAAAATTAGATTAGATATAAAAACTCTAACCTTATCCTAAAAACAATAATTAGCCTCTTTGAACAAAATTAAACCGGACAAATATTATTTACAAATTTAAATGCCATTAAGGAATTTTATTCCTGATCATTCAAAATTTGTATATAATTATATAGGCCACACTACAACATGTTTGACACGCAGACTCACTCTACACCTTCCTGACCATAGCTGAATTAAATCTCATTTAAATATTCATGGAGACCTACTGAACCCTATTCGTGACATACTTGATGACAATACAAACATAATAGCATCATCTACATGCAAAAAAAAAAAATAAGGCTAAAAATATTGGAAGCCTTATTAATAAAAACAAAAATAATTATATATGCCACACTACACCATGTTTGACACGCAGACTCACTCTACACATTTCTGAACATAGCTCAATTAGGTCACATTTAAATATTCATGGAGAACTGCCGGACATTAATCGTAACATATTTGTTGACAACACTAATATAATAGCATCATCTACATGAAAAAAATGCTAAAAATAATGTAAGCCTTATCCATAAAATAAAAACACTTAATTATATCAACTATGAACATGGACACAGTAACTTGACCGTGATTGAAAATGAAAACATTATAGAAAAACATACATACAACAAACTATTTCTTGTTAACAGTTAATATATTTCAACCATAAAAATGGCTAAATGTATAGCCGAAAGCGCTCGTATAAAAAGAACAATTGGACAGTTTTTATATAATTTATCATCCGAAAAGAAAACAAATTATTAGATTACATGAGAAATTGTATAAAAAAGTAAATCAAGGCACCTTCTCTACCGTATTCAATGAAATGTGCATATATATATATATATATATATATATATATATATATATATATATATGCATGTGTATGTATGTTTCATTTCTAAAGAATTGCAAGGTTTATGGTCTTATATGCATTACTTTTCTTTTGACTTTTTTTTTTTTAATTTTTCAATTAATTGTAATTAATTTTAATTAATTTATAATTTAATTTAATTTTATATTAATAACTTTAATAAATTTTAAAAATTTTAATAATTCAATTTAATTTTAATTAATTTTTAATCAATTTTTAATGATTTTTTTAATGAATTTTTAATTTATTTTTATTTTTTATTCTTTATTTTAACCCACGTAAAAACTCGGCCTTGTGCCACATGCAACCCTCGTGGGGGGGTTGTCTAGATACCGAATCAAGCCGAGCTTCTCGACTTGACGGTCGAACTCTCTGCTTTTGAGCAGAAAGGAACCCGGACGAGGTTCCGCCGAAGGGCAGAGTCTCGTTCGGGGAGGATGACCAATCCGATTCCGTTTATACGGGTTCTACGGGCATTTTTTGGCCGAGCCTACGGTCTCAGGAAACCCACGTTAAACTCGGCCATGTGCCACATACAAACTTCGTGGGGAGAGAGGCGGCTAGATACCGACTCAAGCCGAGCTTCTCGGCTTGACAGTCGAACTCTCTGCCTCTGAGCAGAGAGGAACCCGGACGAGGCTCCGCCGAAGGGTAGAGCCTCGTTCGAGGTGGTAGACCCACCCGATTCTGTTTTTACAGTTTCTACGGGCATTTTTTGGCCGAGTCTACGGGCTCGGGAAACCCACGTTAAACACGGCCTTGTGCCACATCTTTCCCTTGTGGGGGAGCAAGTAAATATCGAATCGAGTCGAGCTGATAGTAGTTCACTCCAAACCAGACTGACAGTCATATTAACACCTTCCACATCTTGTATTATTATTTCGTGTAATATACCTTCGTTATTTCTACTGTTGTGTTCGTGTTGTTCTTCCTTGGTCCTAACCTGGATCATAACAATTTTTAATTTAAAAAATGTAAGAAAATTTATTGTATTAAGCTACATACTCTGGTAAAACCAAGTATAATTTGTACCCACTTTCCTTTTTGCACTTCTCCCCAAAATTTGTTTCGATTGGTCGTATGGCTATTTTAATGTGACGGAAGGATGGACTAAAGGAAGTCACAGAATGTTATACATAGACAGTGATATCGTTTTTAGTTAACTACCTGACATGATTCTTCCTTGGATAAAGACACCGCCTATTGTTGAAGACAAGCGGTAACATATTTTTGGCTGAGAGCAAAATGAAAGCAGGAAGAGGATCATCAGCTTCATGAGTTGACGCCGTCGAATGCCATCGAGATTGTGATGTATCCTTGGGTTTCAAAATCTCCAACCTCGGAGATGACATACTACTTGTTCACCGTCGAACATGACAGGCACGTGTCATTCAACTTTCGCGGCATGAACTTAAGGATTTCCTTTGGATTTCGCTAACAAAAAGAAATACATGACGAGTTCAAACATGAAAACTCTCGCGCTCTCTATTGACGTCCTTCAGTCAAACTGAAATAAATTCAGAAATACACCCGAGGATCCTTCATATTGACACTTGACAATATAAAAGAACACTCTCCTGGGCGACACTCTTAATATATGCATTCATTTTTCCACTGGCTGACCAATACATCCGACATCGTGCCACATCTGCGACACGCTTAGAAAATTGGACTCTTCGATATATTTTAATTGTTACCAAGTTTAGTCTCGCTAGATCAATTATGACTGAGTACTGAGTTCGATCCTGCCTGGTTCCACCAGACTTTCGGTCTTGTTTCAAAGCGAAGCTACGTTTAGAAATACTTTTAGGGCGCTTCAGCGAGGAAATGAGTATGTTTTTGTCTTTCCGAATAAATCACAACTGTGTATTGAGTTCGATCCTCACTGATTCCACCATTGACAATTGTGGAGACAGCGACAAACGTATCATGGATGTAGCTAAATATGACGTTCTATTTGTTGAAGTGATGGTGATGGGGGTTAATCAAGCTGTAATATTATCAGAAACAAATTTTATATATATATATATATATATATATATATATATATATATATATATATATATATATATATATAGCCACGTGTATAATTGGTATGTACGGAATGATTTGCAATAACCAACAATTACTATTCTTAAAAGAGTGCTCAATACAAAGTAGAGCAGATATAATTATTTTTTATAAAAATAATTATAACATAAATATGTTATAAAATGACTACAAAAACAGCCATTTTGTTTCAATACCCTCGGTGTCTTATCAAGTAATGATGTTGAATATAAAATAAATGGTTTTAAAAGTTTCAAATAATTAACGATCCTTCGCTGGGGAAAAAACATTGTTACAAAAGCTAGAATGACCAATCAAAACCCAAGTATAGGAAGATTCAAAAGCTTGACAACGAAATCATTTTATAATAGCTATTCAGATCTTTAAAATACGGGTAATATTAATAAACAATTTATCCTAACCAATAATTATTAAATTATATAATAAAATTTGATATTGAAATTAAAAACAGCCAATTTTAAAATCCATATTTAATCACTATTAACTTTACAAACTATAAAATTATTGAGGAGAAAAGAAAAAATACATATGTTATTCAATTTATTTCATCGTTGAAATTACGTTAGAACAGACGCTACAATATCCGGTCATCCGACAATACATGTGTATATATATATATATATATATATATATATATATATATCCCAAGTGAGTGAATGGGGTCTTAAACTCACGCGTAAAACAACACAAACACAATCAGATTATAATACATAAGCACCCAGACATATTTATATATATATATAAACACACAAAAGCGACAAGACAGAAACATCTCCACGGCACTTTATGAAAAAAAAAAAAAGGAAACGGGGAAACCAACATCTACACACACACACACACACACACACACACACACACACACACACACACACACACACAATTAAAAGTAAATGCACTTTCCATACACATAGACACCGATAAATTTTATGATTTATATTATAATTTTATATGACTTATAAAAAGGTGTCTTGTTTTTTTTTTCTATTCCATAAACGAACGTATGTCATTAAAAATTTTCGTTAATACTGAAACCAATGTTTTATACTCTTTCACGCAAAACAACTAATATTCACATGACTAGACGTTGCTATATTTAATTTATTACCGAGCTTCACCGACGTGGCAGACAAAGTGGCTAACAAATTTGTAATGTATTTAGTCCTGAAATATTTTCCTCTTATGTGTATTGATTTAATTAACGATATATTGAATTTCGAACTTTTCCCCGCCTTTTATTCCACATGGGAATGATTGGCTATAGAAGTGAGACATCAATGAGTTTCTAATACGCAAAATTAGCAGAAATGATAAAAATAGGGTACAGGTGGTGGTGTGCCGGGTGCCGGGTGGAAAAAAGAAAGAATTCAGTTCAAAGCATCGCTGTCGTAATTTGCAATAACGTCGCCCGTTCGTCGCAGACGTGTCTTGGAGATTTAACATTCTTGCGAATTCTGAGAACAGGTTAGGTAATTTGATGAGCTATTGTGTTGTTAGATGTGTCCACCCACAAACGCCTTACTTGACGACCGGTAAAAAGCAAGGTTGGAAGGAAGACGTACCTCCTGCGAAGCCCGGCGAGTATCCCCCATCAATATGAGGTTACTCCGTCTTGAGACTTTTCTATAACAGTTTGGAACAAAACCTTTAAGACAAACGATATTCTTCTTCTTCTTCTTCTTCTTCTTCTTCTTCTTCTTCTTCTTCTTCTTCTTCCTCGAATTTCTCTTCTTGTTCTCCTTCGATGTTCCTTCTCCGGTGTTCGGTGTGAATCTAATTCCTCTTCTAATTCTCCTTCTTCTTCTTCTAATTCCTCTTTTAGTTCTCCTCCTCCTCCTCCTCCTCCTCCTTCTTCTTCTTCTTCTTCTTCTTCTTCTTCTAATTCCTCTTCTAATTCTCCTTCTTCTTCTATTTCTTCTTCTTCTACTCCTTCCTCTTCTAATTCCTCTTCTAGTTGTTCTTCTTCTAATTCCTCTTCTATTTCTTCTTCTTCTTCTTCTTCCTCTTCTTCTTCTAATTCCTCTTCTTCTTCTTATTCTAATTCCTCTTCTAATTCTCCTTCTTCTTCTATTTCTTCTTCTTCTACTCCTTCCTCTTCTAATTCCTCTTCTAGTTCTTCTTCTTCTAATTCCTCTTCTATTTCTTCTTCTTCTTTTTCTTCTTCTTCTTCATCTTCTTCTACTTCTTCTTCTTCTTCTTCTTCTACTCCTACCTCTTCTATTTCTTTTTTCTAATTTCTCCTCCTCCTCCTCTTCTTCTTCTTCTTCTTCTTCTTCTTCTTCTGATTCCTCTTCTATTTTTTCTTCTTCTCCTTCGTCGTCGTCGTCGTCTTCTTCTTCTTCTTCTTCTTCTTCTTCTTCTTCTTCTTCTTCTTCTTCTTCTTCTGTATTCCGTGTGAATTCATGACGTTGGCTATTATGACTCTACACAATTTCCTTTTCTTTGTAGCTCTTAGGTAATGTTGTTTTTTATGCCCTATACCGAATGCTTGTTCTCTGCGAATCAAATACATAAGCTCTACCGGAATGTTATTGACTGCTTTCCTCTGTCCCTGTTGTCTTTTATGTGAGCATCAAATTTTCAAAGACCTATTTCTTCACTTAGTGCTTACCATTTACCTTAACCTACCACTGAGTCAGGTTGTGACACAACGTCAGTTTTTAACGTAGGAGACCCGAGTGTTTCCACTCGGTTCGCTAGTCTAAGCTGGTCATAGCTTGTCTAGGTTGATCAAATCTTGTTTCTTTTTGGTTATGTAACTCCGTTCCGTCTCCAGGTTTTCCAGCCACCTTTAATGTAGAAAAGATTAAATGCAATGTCAATCGTTATCTATTGTCGACCTGATTATTCTCTTTTCTCTCTGCTCATTATTAATGTTTCTGTTCCTAATTCATTCACACCCTGCAACCCCTTGTGTCTTAGTGGCTTTCCTGCCTTGCTGGGGGTGATACCAATTTTTAGAAAATGCTTAAATATTTTTAAAAGTAATTTTCAATCCATTCCCTTAATAAAAGTCATTAGTAATGCATTTATATTATTATAGATCCAACCTCATCTAATACATGTCATAGGTGATCAGGTAAAGGAAGTTCCTATCGGCGCACACTCGCAAGAACAAAATTTGAAAAATGCAGAAGGAACGTCGTATTTTTATTCAGATTAAAAATATTTCTTCTCGATTATGGAATTCCCTTCCGGCTTGATGTTTTCCAGGCAATTTTAATCCGTAAAAATATAAATGCCATATCAATGGCTGTCTATTATTGTCCTGATTACTCTTTTCTGTTCCTGTTCATTATTAATGTTTTTGTTCCTAATTCTTCTACACCCTCCCCCCTTGTCTTAGTGGCTTTATCTCCTTGCACAGGTTGAAACGCATTAAGAATTTGCATTAATTCCTGGTCACTGATAATTCTTTTTTTTACGAATTTTCAATACATTCCCATAGTAAAATCATTAGCAATGGATTTACATTATTACAGATCCAATCTAATCTAATACATGTCATATGTGATGAAGTAAATGAAGTTCCTATCGGCACACACACACAAGAACAACAAATTAAAAAATCCAAAAGAAAATGTTATGTTCTGTTTTGATTTATTCAGATTAAAAATATTTCTTTTCTCTCGGGAAACACCTTTTCGGGTCCTGTTTTTCCAGCCACCTTTAATTTGCAAAAATTTAAATGCAATGTCAATCGCTATCTATTGTCCTTCTGATTATGCTTTTCTCTTCTCGTTCATTATTATTGGTTTTGTTCTTCATTATTTTTTTACCTTGTAACTCTTTGTGTCTTAGTGGATAAAACCAATTGAAAAAAAAAAAATTAATTCCTGGACACTGATAATTCTTTTTTTAAAACTAATTTTCAACGCATTCCGATAGTAAAATCATTAGTAATGCATTTACATTATTATAGATCCAATCCCCATTTAATACATGTCATAGGTGATCAGGTAAAGGTATTTCTCATCAGCACACACACACACACAAGAACAACAAATTGAAAAATCTAGAAGAACATTGTATTCTCTGTTTTGTTTTATTCATATTGAAAATAGTTCTTCTCGCTTATGGAACTCACTTCCGGCTCCATACTTTCCGGCCAACTTTAAACTGAAAAAAAAAAAATGAAATGCAATATCAGTCCCTATCTATTGTCTTCCTGATTACTCATTTCATTTCCGCTAATTTTTTATGTTTTTGCTTGCAATCCTTCCACATCCTGTAACTCTTGTGTCTTAGTGGATTTACTGCGTTGCATGGGATTGATACCGATTTAAGAAAAAACATCTTGTTGACTGCTTGTCCAATTGTGAGAGTGGCACGTGTTTGTGGGTGGTAGAGGAGAAAAATGGGGTTGATTCTCATTGGTTTAGAAAGGGTGACTCTTATTGATAATTATAAGTTTTATAATTATATTATTATAATTTTTATGACACTATAGCTTATTTTATTTACTTATAATTATTTATTATGATTATTTGTGACAATATAACTTATTTTATATCCTCATATTTAATGATTTTTTATAATTATTTGTAACAGTATAACTTACTTTATTTAATTATTTTATTATAATTATCTGTGACTTATATTATTTGTGACTTTATTTACTTATTTAAAATTATTTAATTATAAATATTTGTGACAGTATAACTTAATTTATTTACTTATAATTATTTTATTATAATTATTTATGAAAGTATAACTTATTTTATTTACTGATATATAATTAATTTATTATTTGTGACAGTATAATTTAATCTATTTTCTTATTTATAATTATTTTATTATTATTATTATTTGTGTTAGTATAACTTATTTTATTTACTTATTTATTCTTCGTCTTTTTCTTTTGCCTTCCTTTACAACATTCTATAGAAATTTCTGAAGTTTCATTATGGCGACAGAGCCAGACGGATATATACCTGAAGTGCTGACGGCCTTAGATGAATTTGGCATAGACAAGAACGCAGAAATAATTAATGAAATCTACAGTTGTGGGGGACATACCGGAAGATCTCAGTAGATCTATTTCCATAGCTCTTTCTAAGAAACCAGTCGCAAAAGAATGTGAACTCCATTGAATAAATTAGCCTCATGACCCACGTAACAATATTTATCATCCTTATTCTGATGAACATTGCGCACAGGAGAATCGGGCCAATGATAGGACAAGAACAGTGCGGGTTCGTTAAAGTCACCAGAACAAAGAACGCGATATTTATGCTCAGAATGTTATCAGAAAGTGTAATAAAAAATGATTTATAGATTACGAAAATGTATACGCTTATATATGCGAAGAACATAGCCTAGGCTAAATTGAACAATGTGCATGGCCAGACGGAATTGTAATGGTAATGCGGTCAGCCTTAGATGAATTTGACATAGACAAAAACACAGAAATATTAAATGAAATCTACAAGTGTGGGTAACTTACCGGAAGATCTCAGATCTATTTTCATAGCTCTTTCTAAGAAACCAGTCGCAAAAAAATTTGAGCTCCATCGAAGAATCAGCCTAATGAACCAGGTAATAACAGGTAATGTAATATTTTTGAGGACCGATATTTCTCAATCAGATGTAGACATTCAATGGAGTCAGAGGTTTTTGATAGGCTGATTCTAATGGATGTGAAAATCAAGGCTCAATTGATATGGCCTTATACTGTTGTGAGGTCAACAGAGCAGACGGAATTGTAATCGTAATACTGTCTGCTTAAGATGAATTTGTCATAGAGAAGAACCTTATAATAAATGATATCTACAACTGTAGGGGATGTACCGGAAGATATCAGCAAATCTATTTTTATAGCTCTTCCTAAGAAACCAGTCGCAAAAGAATGTGAACTCCATTGAATAAATCAGCCTAATGAGCCACGTAACAAAACTCATCATCCGTATTCTGATGAATAGAGCGAACAGGAGAATCGGGGCAATGATAGGACAAGAACAGTGTGGGTTCGTCAAAGACACTGGAACAAGGAAGGCGATATTTATGCTCAGAACGTTATTAGAAAGAGTAATAAAAATGCAGAAAGATATGTATCTATGTTTTATAGATCATACAAATAGATACGCTTATATATACGAAGAATATAAACTAGGCCAAATTGAACAGAAACAAGGTGGCAGGGCCAGACGGAAATGTAACGGAAATGCTGACAACCTTAGATCAATTTGGCATAGACAAGAACACGGAAATAATAAATGAAACCTGCAGCTGTGGGGGACATACCGAAAGATCTCAGTAGATCTATTTTCATAGCTCTTCCTAAGAAACCAGGGGCAAATAAATGTGATTTCCACCGAACAATCAGCCTAATGAGCCATGTAACAAAACGCATCATTCGTATTCTGATGAATAGATTGCGCAGCAGAATCGGGCCAGAGATGTGCGGGTTCGTCAAAGACACTGGAACAAAGAACGCATTATTT